GCATCTGTGAATCAGATTCGCTGAAATTCGCTCTACCCTAAAAACTATAAAATGGCATGGCGTTCCCCGGGCAAACCAGACTGAAGGCACAAATCCACGTCTTCTATGGCTCTCTTTCTATCGGTCTAGGTAGTAATAGAGACTATTCAAGTCGGAAATAAGAAGCGCCGTAGTCACTGGAAATAGTTCCCCAATAGCTCCACCCACTCTCTACTTTTTATCTTGACTGAACCCTAAAAACATTATCAAGGTTAACCTAATGACTTCACATGAAATCCTAAATCCTACTGAACTGAATGATATTGCCGATGTTAACAATATCACTCGTAGTTACCGTAACCAGCTTCCGGGATCTCTGCTTCTACGATTTCTCTGTTAACTTTCAAACCTCTTATGGCTTCCAGTACCTATAGTTGTCTTCATAGTCTTCATATTCGGCTACCTATCCTTCTTTCCTTTCTACCATTTTTTTTACCGTTTTTATCTTACGGTGCTTATATTACGTATGTGGTGTTCGAATGCTCTAGAGTACTTAAGCCGAGATGGTGGACGATTCGTCTCTGGGAGTCATTACATATAAACAAAGGAGGTCGAAATAGTATTGATAATTGTGCTGAAAAAAAGTTTGTTACTTCTACTGGTCGAGTACTTGCTTTTCGCGCATACACACCGCAAAAAAAGCTCAGTAGGGAATCGATGTGGCACCCTCAAACTTTTCGTTTCAACCAACGGTTAACCGAACCAGACTACTATTCTGCTGATTTTCACATCACAGTAATACATCTGTTTTGCAGAGCGAAAAAAATTGCCTTATGAAACTCGGACGCCATACTTTTCATGAGCACAGTATTTTATGCAATGAGTCGCATATAAGATTGTGTTTGAGAGCCGGTTCATTCAACTTTTCAAATTTGAGGAGTGCCGCCTACTGACTATATACTTGCGAGTCAACTTGTTGACATCATGCTAGCGCTGCTGCATTGTTGAACTTAAATCTTGTCAACCCTTACTTTCTCATGGAGTCATGACCTCATTTTTAGGATAGCTAATGATTACCCAGTTCGAGAGACAATGACTGGAATGACTTCCCTAAACCAATTTTTCCTCTCCGTATTTTTATCGTTGATTTCATCATCCTCGTTATTATCTCCTCGTCGCTTTTATCATTGCGTTACTTAACTCGCCACCTTTGTAAAAGCAATAATATTATGAGTACTCAGATCCCAGACGTGGATGAAAAACACTATCCAAGAATGGAAGAAAAAGAAATAATCCCTATCCTACGCTTATTCGGTCTCGGCATCTCGCTCTCTCCGTTTCGAATCAACCTCGCTGTTAGATCAGACCCTTACTTTTAAGCGTTTGGATTAGAGTCCATTCACGTGTGAGATGTGTGACCTATTCTGTCAAAGCTAATATCAGCATTCAGGATTTGAGGCACTACAGATGGCCCATGTTCCCTGTTCAGGGTAAGTTAGCGCAGTACCTACCATTCTGAGCCTCCCACCTTTTATACGAAAGCAACTCCTAGAGCTGCTCGCCATCTTATCTGGTTACTCTTTTAAAGAAATCGAATTTATTCATTATGCGGCTTTCCTGGTTTCCTGGTTTTGTAATCCACACTTCCGTTACATCAGGGAAGGGCAGATAAATAAAAAACGAACAAAACTGATTCACGAAAAATTACAGAATTGTAGAGTTTCGGAAAGCTAAATGTTTCATTTAGTGAAGTTGAATTAATCCAGCTACAAAGATTTAGGCAAAAGTGAAACAGTTGAATAGCAAAGGGATATGATCCATCTAGAGAAAGTGGAAAGCATCAAAGATGTCTTTTGGATGGCGTCAAGCGAGTGAGAAATTTGAAGATCTTTCACACTTTCAGGGTCTCAAAAACCCTTCCTTATTATTTTCTCCGCATTTCAAATGTTTGATATGGGATCCCAATCATCCTCCTGACCCAGAAACCCTTCTTCAAATCAGGTGGAGCTGTCAGTCAACCGAGAAATAAGTGAGTGACGCCCGGTTTCGCATAGGGAATTAAAAGCTGCCGAGGTGTGTGTTTTGGGTGAGCGCTTCTTCCACTTCCTTTCCGTCTATTTTTCTTTTTCCTGACACACGTAACTGCTTGTCGATTGTTTTCCACTACTTGCGACCCATCGCTCAACGCCTATGTAAAATAAACGGCTTCGAGGCTTCGTGCCCATATTCACGCCCAGAGAGAACATCTTCCATTTTTTCCATGTTTTTTTGCGCAGGTGTTTTGAGCTGTTCGTTTTTAGAGGATAAAAAGTCTGAGGTCAGTGCAATGTGATCATTCGCTTTCAGCGACAAAAAGCTAAAGCGCGCAAATGTTAATTGCTCTTCTCGACTTATTCCTCGAGGAGTTGTAAACGCCGCTTTGTCATTCATTGCAACCTTATCGCTCTTTCTTTGATGGCTGGAGCAACCGAGCAACTTTTGCTCCTCCTGAACTTTACATGTCACTTGGAATAGTCGTTCCCGTTGTCTAGTACTCTTTAAGGTTGATGTATATTATGCATACATGGTAATTATTTAGTTTTCGTCTAATATTGGCGATATAGTACTAGAAATAAGCAATAGCTATCCTATAGATGGCAGGAATGCCTTTCATCTTCGTGCATGTGGCAGCTGACAAGAGAAAAACAAAGTCGTCTTCAAAAACAAAAACCTACCCCTGAGTTTTGCAATATTTCGAGTAACCTACCACATTTTTTCTCAGTTACCTAGGCTACCTGATGCCTATGAAGACAATGCAGAAAACACCGCTTTGGCTCTTACTAGACAGTATCCAAGCCGTCCGATGAAAGTTCTTTTAACAATGTTGAGTCTCCTTGTTTTCGGTGATTCCCTTTCCGGAATAAGCTAGGCGACCCTCATTTTCGTTCTCCTCGGCTTTTTCTTTTCTATGGTAACATCCAAAAAGCTTGAAGGAGGCTGTTCCGTGTCCATGGCCTTTTGTTACGTCGTTCATCAACCTATACGCTTAGAGGGAAGAAGAGGAGGTTCGCCATTGTTTCACACTTTCAACCAGTGCTCGCGAACCGACAAGATTCAGTTGAACTCAAAATGACTGCTTGCTTGTGTGTTCAACCAGTGGAGATGGGGCACGAAAAACCTCCCGTAATTGAAAATAAATCATCTGGCGGACGTACCTTGAAAAGTTTTGGCTTTTGAAAGACTAATTTTTCGAAATGGCATTTCTCAGAAGGTGTGCAAAAACTTATTACTCTATTACTTTACCAGCTTTCAGTACACCAGACCATCGCTGTATATAGCGAAATGTCTTTTCTATCAAAATGTACTAATCCATCACTCAACATTCCACCTCAACATCGAAAAAAATTGTCAAGGATGATTTGCTATTTCACATCGAAGAAAAAAAGATGTCTAGTTTCCACCGGAATGATTTCCTTAATTCCTCAGGGATATGCTCCACCCAGATTGACCACTTCGATGGAAACAATGATTATATAAGCATATAGCAAAGGTGGGGAGGAAGCTTCTCTACTTTACTGGGTAGAAAATTTCAGTAGGGGTTAACCTCTTTCTTCTGTCATTCACAATGTCCTCATTACTTTCGAGTCAATTTTTTTCATCCTGAAAATATTTTTCCAAATTGTACTGTGAGCAATGCTCCTACTCATTGCCCATTACTTTCAGGTGATAGTACTAAGGGTCACCGAGAACCGCCAGCTAGTCAGCAATTTTTTCAAAATGATGGATTAAATTGAGCTGAGGTTATGTGCAAGTGACGCGTTATAGCACACGCATATTTAGGGGATCGAAATCTGCTGATGCTGACCAAATTTAATGCGGGCATGCATCCCAGAAAAGAGTNTACTCATTGCCCATTACTTTCAGGTGATAGTACTAAGGGTCACCGAGAACCGCCAGCTAGTCAGCAATTTTTTCAAAATGATGGATTAAATCGAGCAGAGGTTATGTGCTAGTGACGCGTTATAGCACACGCATGGTTAGGGGATCGAAATCTGCTGATGCTGACCAAATTTAATGCGGGCATGCATCCCAGAAAAGAGTCTGGTACCAATTAACCGAGCCCGGCGGGATGGAAAACTTGGTTCGCGAAAAAATTCATCCATCATCTTTCAAAGAAAAAATGGCTTTAGTGCGACGAAAAGAACGAAGTGTACTCAAGTAGCTGACGACAACCGATCCATCTGCTCCTCTGCCCTTCCACTATAGTTGAACAACGAAATGTTTGCAATTCAAGCAGACCAATTTGCTACCCTGTCCTGGCAGAATGTGACTCTTCTGGAGCTCAATATGAGTATTATACAATGCATCTTTTGATAGTTCAGATTCATGACAAATTGGCGTGGCTAAAGAAAGGAAGGAGTAGCGATGCAGTTTGATCCGTTCCCAAAGAATAAACTAAGATAGTTTTTTATTGAATGAAATCCGGTTATTGCTCCCGTTGTCCTTAGGCGTTCTACGAGCCCATTATGAGTACAGTGCAGCTGAGTTCTACGAAAACAACTTGATGAGCTTTACCTTTTAGTGATTTCCAGCTTATTGATATAATCTTGACTGTTTGAGTGTAGAAACAAAAGTTTATATCTCACCGCACCCCCCCCCCCCCCCCCCCCCCCNCCTCCCACTCCCCAGCACACTTCAGCTACAGGGAATTCCGGCACCTTATCTTCATCATTCGCAAGTTCCCACCGCCACAACAATCAACCTATTCTGAAGGCATAGCTCAAAACAGTCTAGCCTCCTCCTATGACACATTTTCGATGGGATTCCGCAATTAGAGATGTGTCGAATTTCGACTTTCACTTTAGTCGTTACACCAGGAGGGACTTTACTGACAAAAATTCAGCGTTCCAGCTTTTCCTTTTTGTTTGGTCCCAAATCCGCCCGATCTATTTTCGTCGCTAGAGTTTAGTGGATTTCTGCGTATTTACTTTCTATTAGATATAAAGAACCTTCTTCTAGAGATGGATTCATAAAATACAACGATGAACTTGTTGCTGGCGATTCTGTTCCTTTTGTCAACATCAAATAGCGATGCAGTCAAACCTTCTTTTCAACTCGGGAGGATTTCGCCAGAAAAGCGCCAGCAGAGACGAGTTCCCATATTCCAGGGAGATCCTTGTTCTGATGCTCAGCAGGTAAGCATGATTTATAATACCAATTTCGTATGAGCGGAGCAACCCTCTCTTCTTGGCTATCTATTCTATCTGCTGAGATTTCCCTTTTTGTCTCAAGCGGAGCTGGTGACTTATTTTCAAACTGAAATGAATTGTCATAGAGGAAAATAATCCAAGCTGTGGGATTGAAGTCGAAAAATTCAGTTCAGGATACTTCATTTCAGACCCGAACTTTTATTTCGATTCTGAATCCTCAGCTTCGATTAGAAATTTTACTCCGGTAGTTGCTCTCAAACCCTTTTTTAAAGATAAATCTCATCATAAATTCATATAGCAGTACATATAAAATTTATTGTTTTACAGCCCTTCCTATCTATTCTTGCTTCCTACTCTTTGATGTTTTTATTGTGTGTAACCCGTAGAGTAAAGGGAGAGAAGGGTCGATTCATACAAAGCATGCTTGTTTCCTTGCCTTTTCTGCATTCTCTACAAGGTGATTTCTATTTAAAGCAAAATTCACCGTAGCGTTCGGACTTCGGATATATTCATTGCGGCCTCATTTCACCACCCTTTTTGAAATTATACTATGATTTGAGATAGCCTATTGCGAGTGTGAGGTTCTATACTTTTCTGAGGGTGTTCTGGTGTCATGCCAGTCGGGAATTATCATTACTAATCCTCGACGGGTGTACAGTCTCTTCTTTCTGGTGTGGCAAAATGCGACTTAGCTTAGATTTCCTTACTGCATGCTTGGTCCAACTTGGAACAGGGCATGCAGGACATATGCTCTCGAAGGACGCCATTGCATCCCATGTGAGGTTACTGACTCGGCTGTTTCCCGCTTTCCTTCTCACTTGAGGTGATAGAACGTCCAGAGCTTGATAAAGGATAAAGTTTTTGGCGTTAATCAATCCCGTCTGAGGGATGCGCCCCTGCACTCGACTTCCATCCAGAATCGTAGTGGCGTAATGAGTGCGTATGTGGCCTATACAATGACTTGCATTGGCCAGCCGATGTACAAGTCAGCGCTTTTATCCTCCCAGACGAGTCTGGTACCAATTCACCGACCCCGAAGGGATGGAAGGCTTGGTTGGCCTAGGCGGGCATCGATCAGGGATTCGAACCCCTGACCGTGCGTGTGATATAGTGCGCCACTTGCCACTACACCACCTCCGCCCTTGATGCAAAGAGCTTGATGCAAACTCTTTTTGGTAGTCTTCTTTCGAATCCATGAATAGCGCTGTGGAAATTCAGATGCTGTGCTTTGGCTGTTGGGTTAACCAACAGTGAAGTGGTTTATGATTTATTTGGAGGTCTTTTCTGAATTGACAATGTAAAAGGTTACAGTTAGGCGACCCGATCATCTTGTTATGCAATATCAGACAGAATGTTCAGGTTGAGGATATCAAAGCAGTGAAATTCCATCCGAGATACGCGGCCCTGAATCGTCCATGGCTGCGAAGCAATGTCACTGCAAAAGTGAGCAAAGCTTTTTTTTGAAAACCTCAGGGACGTATCTGCTGTATAATGTTTATCTAGGTTTACTCCAGCCATGGTTTGCAACATCAGTGGTCAAGGGCGAAAAGCTTCCCCATACGAGGACTACCTAATGGCACTACGGTAAGTTCGATTATATTAAAGTACGTGATGGTGAGTTCTAAATTCACATCACATAATTTTCACTATTATTGACGAAATAGCTGGTTTTGAAGAAAACGAAATGAACCAAATATGGCTAGATGTCATAATAACTAACAGTAGAAGGTTAGGAACTGAAAAGAGATTGAAAAGAATAGAAGCCGTTTACACGAAAAGTTTCTCTTCCATCATTCCTGTGGTGAGAGCGCTTTTGAAATAAGGCTCCCATTCTGCAGGTTGAAGACGTCCTTCTCTTCCTGGATCGCCAGAATTGCTTATTTCTGGCCATCGGCGACGTCGTCTGGAAACTGATTCACATGGTTCGACCCGATCAGATTGAAGGGGAAGTCAGCTGTTCTATAGCAGAGGTTAGTGGCAATCACCGATCGCTTTCGTAAATACCCGTTTTCTGTGAGGTTGCTCAAGTGAAAAGCGCGCGTGATAAGGTATTCAGGGATAGGCTCAAATCAGTGTGACTAGTGTCTCCAACATCGAGTGGAGAGGCAGCGGGGAAATAGTAGGTATGGACAGTGTGTATAGCGGAAAAGTTAGATGAAGATGGGAGCCTTCATTTATTGTCGGGTGCTTTTGAATAGCTCCTGTACGGAATCGCAATTTGATGGGGATACTCCGAAAGCCAAAGGAATACACGAAATTTCGAGATGACATTGCTCGTTGGAGCACGCGATAGCACTCTAGTCTGAGTGTCTGATGATAAAATGTCAACTCACAACGTGCAAGGCCCTCTTCGTGTAGTGGAACTTGTTTTTTTTTGTTGATTATTTCATTTTTAGGCTGTTGTTGACAGCTGTCCAAGCGAAATTTAGAATCTGTTGTTGTTTTTCTGGCCCAATCGTGATTTCGTGGGCGATAACCATGTATTGTTGTTGGGGACGAATGCGCTCGCGGTTGCATTATCAGAACAACACGATTTGATTCCGTCCAAACAATCCTTTGCAGCTCTACCCGAAATGCGTGGAAAATTATGGCACAGAGACATGTGGTTTCTTCCCCGTTGAGGGCAGAGCTGGCCACTACCGACTGGAAATAGGCGACCCGATGTCTAATCGGTAACCATTTTTTATTGTGACTAAGGGCTCCTGAACAATATCACTTTCACCGAATAGTTCTAGAATATGTGCTTCAGGCTGGCGAATACACCATGGACTTCTCAGTTAGTTCTCCATGAATGGGGATCTACTCTTGGTTTACGGGCGACGCAATGGTCTTTTACGATAACAACCATGGCAATTTGCGACGACAGCGCTGGACACGTTGTTGGTATTCCGTCAAAATTATTGTAAACTTGAAATTCCATGATGATTATGTTCCGATACCTAGATTTCTCAGGCGCAACTATTTTTCAATCCTGATGACGTGTAAGCAAGAGTGGAGTTTTCCGATTGGAGGCAAAACCCTTCGAAACCAAAACTGTCAACAAGATCAAACCAGCTTCTCCGTGCTGAATTCCCTTTTTTACTGCGTGAATAGAAAACTGCGGAGCCCACAAAACAAAGCTCCTTGACCGTCTTTGTTGAGATGACTTCGCTCTCATTGTGTTCGTGGGATGATTCCTTCATCGGCGACATCGATGAAGATTACAATTGGCTCGTCGAACAACTTCACGATAGTGCTAGGAAAGCAGAGATTACGAGTTCACAAGTTGCCAAGAGAAGTCTTCCTCCACAGCTTCTCAAGTTAATACGCCAGTGTGGGATTGCGCGAGCTTTAGGAGATCATCAATTATTGTCCGGACTTGGAGCTATGCGGAGGAGCGATAACAGAAGAAGAGGAAGAGAGAAGCAGTTTTGGCCGAAGCCATCTAGATCGGGAAGATTATTTGAAACTTTCCGAACCACAAGATAACGGTGAGTTCCCTCCTTCGTTCTGGCGGAGGGCAAGAGCGAGGGGATGCACGACTTATCCTCCGACCTCTTCGAAACCCACGTCTACCTGCCTACCTAACATTGGTGATGCACGACTTATCCTCCGACCTCTTCGAAACCCACGTCTACCCGCCTACCTAGCATTTTAACCAAGACGGATCTTTTGATATTATATTGTTCTTAGGTTCTACCTTCAGCAACTCGGCATGCCATCACGTCAATGAAAAAATGCAAGGCGTCGGGTAGGATTCAATCAGAGCATCTGAGAAATTTTCCACCTGTTTCCGTCAAAACCCTGGCTCGGCTCTTCATGCGGTACTTGGCGGATGTGTAGGCGGTGCTGTAAAAGAAGAGAGACTATTAACCTCTATCGCTCAATCTGCCTACTGTATGTGAACAATACATTTTTCACGCGAGCCATCTTCAAAAGGATCGGTAGAATACTAGATTAAGCAACGACTGCAAGATGAGTTTTCTGAGAGGCATCACTCCTAACGGGGCGGAGGTGGTGTAGTGGCAAGTGGCCACTATATCACACGCACGGTCAGGGTTTCGAACCCCGGATCGATGCCCGCCTAGGCCAACCAAGCCTTCCACCCCTCCGGGGTCGGTGAATTGGTACCAGACCCGTCTGGGAGGATAAAANCAGTGACTTGTATATCGGCTGGCCACCGCAAGTCATTGTATAGGCCACAAACGCACTCATTACGCCACTACGATTCTGAATGGGAGTCGGGTGCGGGGGCGCATCCCTCAGACGGGATTGATTAACGCCAAAAACTTTATCCTTTACTTTTTATCACTCCTATCGGTCATATCCACACTCTTTCGAGACTCGTTGAAGTATCGGTCGAGTACAAAATGCCGTCATGCATTACGTTCACCGATTTGAAGAAAGCATTTTGAACCGTTGAGTTAGAAGCGATAATTGAAGCCCTGGGCAACCAGGACGTCTCTGCCCAATACGTAAGGATGCTTTGTGAGCTCTTCGACAACTTCACGATCAGGATTTCGCCATTCTAAAAAGAAGTCATTGTCAAGAGAACATGTGTTTGGCAGAGCGATACCATCTGGCTAAAGTTTTTAGTGCCGCACTTGAAAGCGAAGGCTGGCAGCCGCTACTTTCATCATTTCCGCTTTTCAAACGAAGTCGTGCTTATAACACCGAACATCGAGCAGGCCCGACTTCACAACGCTATGGGAAGGACGGCCTTGCGAACCGAACAAAGACGATGTTTATGAGAAACTATTGGCACCTGATGCTCTTTTACGTTGAACGGAAGGAACATATTCCAATGTTTTACTCATGTGTATCCAAATCGAGGAGTCGATGCGGGAAGCACATGAGAGCATTGATGGAGCAGTAAATGAGACGGAGAACATTCGTACTCACTTTTCATAACACTGCTGTTCTTGCTGCTCTGAGATGCGCCTTGGAATCTTGAACTTCATCAAACAGGATGAGCATGCAGTAAAGATTATCCAACGCCTGTTTAAAGGCACAGTTCACGATGAAAATGGTTTCCGAGTTCTCTCTTTAAAAATACTCAGTGGCCCCGAAGGTAACAGGAAGGACGCTGTCGGGTCCGAAAACTCAACAGCTAGGGCATAGTGGGAGCCCCGTTACCGGACCGTCCGGGTTCCCCGTCTCTCGACCGATGGTATGCCAATCGAGTATCGAGGCGATACAGGTTGTAATATTCGCCCCAGGATCCACGCAATACCTCGGTAGGCATCAAACCATTTCTGCGCTCTAGCGCGGTCTCTATGCACTCTGCTCTCTGGTGGCAGAAACGCAGAATAGATCTTCAGCTCGCCCAACCACTGCTTTCACGTCGTTTTTATGCGTATTGTATTTCTTTTTGTATGCCGCTTTTTGCGTTTTTTTCGTTAACTTTGCACTATTCTAAACTGTACCTCTGATCTATTGAAAACCGTGCATCCAAAAATTATTGTGAACTGTGCCTTTAAAGGAACATGCATAACCCACTGAGACGCAAGTTGGAATAGAATCCAGTATTCCAAGCTCATCCGACCAACGAAGAGGAGGGATGTCATCGCTCAAACAAAAGAAGGAAGAAGATAAGGTGGACCGATCCGTCAAGTGACTCAGAAATGGCTGTTGAAACAGATCGGATACTGACTGGATGCCTCAGGACAGTAAACAAAAACCAGAACGGCTGCGAGCACGATTTCATCCTACTGTTTTAATTTTCTGTTAATTGTGACAACATAAATGCACTAACTACGACTATAACTGTTCCAAGCAACCTGCTTCAATACCCCATAACGATGGCAAGAAATTTAGGTGGCATTGTTGCCAGTTGTTCCCAACATGATTGTTTCTTCATATGAAGGTTATAAAGAGGGTAAGGAAGAGTTTCAGTACCTTGTGGATATGACTGGTCGTGGTTATGTGGACACATGCAGAAAGCAGCTAGCTGTTCCTGTAGCGAAAACGATGTGGAGGGAATGGTCTGATGATGACTCTTCGAAGCTCTATCGGTCAGCCAATTTACCAGAAAATCTTCTGTTATGGAAGAGCAGTTTATATTGGTTCCAGTTTTTATCAGCTACGAATATTCGGCTTCACTGTCACCAACCGCCATCTCCAGAAATATGTTAATGCTGCCATCGAGAAAAGAAGGTCGAAAAAGGTGAGGTCTAGACTCTTCAACGATTAAATCTTGATTCCATTCGCAACAATCCTATCTGAACCTTACGTATTGGTTACTGTAAGAGTAGCATAACCAGAAAATCATTTCACGGTTGTTTTCCCCTTATTGTTGACCTTTTTGGTGAATTGCCTACTCTCGGTATTCGTCTTCCTCTTTCATTTGAAGAGCAGCAATCAATCTCACGCTGATTTTGCGGTTCTCAGTTCGCAAGTAACCAAAACTACAGGGAGGTGTGCTCAAAGAATCTTTTAGCTTCGTGTTTATTGCCGAAAGGATTCTGGACGAGCACAGTTTCTCCTCCGTTGCCATTTAAAGTGACCCGACCAACCCACTATCTCTTCGGCCAAACCAAATCAGCTTCGCAAACTCTGTTTTCGAAGCCAGTCAAAGGGACTTCAGGGCGAATTTTTCAGTGATTGTTTCGAAAAATGCGGAAAAGAACAACATCAGTCCGAAAAGTCGCAATTTCCTGGTAGCAAGCACTTGATGAGACTAGTATGTACATTGCGGATGGAGGACTTCGCAGCAAAATATTCCTACGGTCGCAAGCGCACCTCAGGCGACGTTTTCGCTGCAAAGGCAGCAGCCATCTATGTACTTGAAACTCGAATATTACTGACATACAGCGTGCTCGGGTCCGGAATCCTCTCCCCGAAAAACGGCGTCGCGCACGACACACCCGCCGCGTATCGCAGGATTGCGATGGAAGAATGGAGCGCGCAATTTGTGTGGTAGGGAGACGTTCAATTATCTGAATTGGTTGGCCGCTCTCTTCAATTCCAATGCGGTCTCGATCGTCACTAATATATTAGGAGTCATTACAATTAATCAAGTCTGTTAAACATAAAAACGAAAAAGAAATAGAAAAACGATTAAATATAGTAAAAAAGAAAGGCAATCAACGAAAAACATTGCGTCCTATCGATTAGCGGGGAGATGGGGTGAGTGCGGTAATTGCAGTGACATTTGCCGCATGCCGCAAGGGAGAATGCTGCAAGCGGGGAGAAGTTCCATTACCCAGCTTGCTCTGACCCACACGAGTTGCGGCCAGCGCAGTGCGCCGTTCGTTTACATGATCCCAACCCTGCACTTCGTTGCAAAACTACAAACTGGCCATCTTATCGTCGTAACTCTAAGTTTTATCACATCCTCTCGAAACATCGTTCCCTAAGAAAAAATAAGGAACTTCGCTGCAAGCCATAAAACTATCCCCATGCAGGCTGCGCAGACGTTCTACTGTGAATTCGTGCTGAACGGGCTGATCTCATGGGCCGGCTCAGAGGGCTCTGGCTGCGCTTGCCATCTTGTGTATCCAGAACCTATAGAGCGCCTACGAATAGCAAGAGCGAAGAAAATAATGCAGGAAGAAATGGGTAAGCTTTAACATCGTAAATCTTCATCTCGAATGCTGTGATACTCAATCGATCTGTTTCTCTAGAGCAAAAACATTTCTTTTCCAGAAAATTGGTGAACAAGGTCGAAACTCACTGACCATGTCGAAGTGAATCAGTCCTTAAAATTGATTAAAACATTAAAGGAGCGTAAAAGGGTCAGGGTGAAGGCAACCTCTACGTTGCTACTATCCGGTGTTTTTTAGTGAAGGCACATTAACATGAGGCGAGGGGAAAACAGGAGATACGGAATATTACCCTAGATCGTGATGTATGTATCTCCCCTGAAAAGTCGCCCGCTTCATTCAAGGACGGACTAATGTTGAGTGTCGGGTGTTTCGATGCAGTGCCAAGTTGGTGTTTTCACTTGACTAGTGCCGCACAGCCACTGACTGTTTGCTTTCTCAACTTCCACATTGCGTTTATGGTACCACTTTGCATGCTTTGCCTATTGTGCCTGCTGCCGTTATCTCGGACACAAGGAGAGTAACGTTAGGGAATATAGTTTCTTGAGACATGGGTACTTTCCCAATTCAGTCTTTACCGTGCAGCATGCCTGAAAACAAATACCGTCGAAAGACTGATAGATTCCTTTTGCTAGGGGTTCAGTAGAAAGTTGCGCACGAGGTGCAAGGTCAGGTGGCGGACAGGGTTAGTCACGGACCGCAAACCAACGGCACTTGCTCAGAAATGCTGGTAAAGCACTGAGCACTGTGCGATACGGGACCAACACTGATGCTTCACCCCTTGTCCTCTCAAGATACCAGGCAAGCTTCACCGAGTCTACACAGCCACCCTTCGAAGCCTGGAAAACTATTCCCGAACGTCTCGCTCCAGTGGGCAGAGTTTCCGTGTTACCTACGTCCAGTATTCCCACTGCCGCCTGTACTTATAGCGAATTTGAACGCTCCAGATACAACAACGATTTTCACGCGAGNCTCCCCCCCCCCGGCGATCGGAGTCTGTTCCTACCACCTGTTGCCACTGTTACCATACTGTCGCCTGTATTCTTACCGAATTTGAATGCTCTAGGTCCAAATTAAGAATTTTCGCTCACGCCTGCACTACTACCAGGTTTAAACGCTCAAGGTCGGCGGGAACGGAACTTATGAGAGCTAGGTTAAACAACCACGCACAAAAGCACGTACACACGCGTATTTGTAGGTGGAATCTTTTATCATCCTTCGTCTGATCTCTCACATTGAGAGTTATGATCCCTGAGATGTTTTGCTGGTCACATACTCGTATCTTTGGTTACCCGCATTTCGGCTCAGGGTTGTACCCATTTTGTCTTCCTTTATCTGCCATTCGTTGACCACTGATAATTATTCCACAATCGAATTCATTCCTTCGACCCACACAATCCTTTTCTAAATAGCGAGCCAGTGAAATGGTCTGCCCGATATGTCATTGTCTAGTGGGATGCATTACTTAGTGCGACTAGTATATTGTCTATCTTGTAAAGCTCTTGAATTCACCGAGGTTGAAAACTCTCTACGCGAGAGAATTTGGATAACTACTTTTATTCTAAAATTATGGAATCTTTGAATCTAGCCTACTTTCCATGTTGGCAAGAGTCCCATCACATAAGCATTTTGCTAGCATCGCATCCCCGGATCGATGTCCACTAAGGCCAACCGAGCCTTCCCTCGGTGTAGGTAAGCGAATTTGGCCCCAAACTCCTCGTCTAGAATGATAAAAACATTTACTTGCACATCGGCGTCGTCCCCCTCACAGACTTACGAAGGTCGCCTGAAATCGGCAAAAAATGAGATTCTATTTTTGTGTAGCACAGATCGTAAAACAGATGCTCTGAAGTTAGACGATCCTCTTATACATCGTATTTTTTATTTCTGGGTCTTATTGATTATTGTTCGTACATAGCAGCGTCGTCACAAATACAATATAATATAATATTTTGTTGTGCTTCTAAGAATTTAGGATTTCACCACTTATGAGCAGATTGGAAGAAGAGTATTTTGCTCTTAACATTCGTTTTCGGCTAAAGTAAGTAATGGCTCTGAATTGCTAATACTTGATTAAGTGTTATACTTTGACATTTGTTTGTGAGAAAAGAAATGAAGCTGGAATAATAAGGCTACCGCACTGTAATGCATAAAAACTGGTTCTTGTCAAGGTTCTCGAATTCTTTCCTCAAGAATATGAAAAAGTTCTCAAGCTGAAATACGAGTGGCCTGTTGAGAGGCTTCGGAATCGTCTACAATGTACAACGTATGCCATGCGTAGCAAATAATCAACCCTTATTTCAGGCAGTTTTCGAAGAACAAAGAGTACTGATTTTGTGATCATTGTGTCTTTTTATAGGGAACTATTGGCGAAATTTTATGGTCGAAGTGATTGACGATATGGAAGCAGTATATATCACAGAGCGACAGTTTGTTGACGTGCGAAATAACCTCCTGACTAACAATCGGAGTCATCCAGGTTAAATAGCCGCCATTGCTGATATCTTTCTTTTGTTCTGTGTCGAATTCAGCTTCCGGGAGCAAAAAACGAACGGGTGTATCTAATAATGTAAGAGGTTGCGAAAAAAGGGAACAGCAACGTATCTATCGTGACTTTCGCGATCACCGTAATAGTAGATCTCGAGTCATTGGTGATCTAGCGGGAATGATGCATCGTACCTTGGTCTTTGGTCCAAGGGATATATATACGCCTTCCAGGAATCGTTAGTATCTTCATCATCTTCTTCGTCATCTTCTTCAAGTCAGTTCTGCCAACAGATTCCTCCTGATTTGCTGGATTGTTGTGTCGATCTATCTATCGCGACTTTCGCGATCAGTGAAATCGTAGATCTCGATCCATAGGTGATCTGGTGGGAATGATGTTTTCTTCTTTGGTCTTCGACTCAAAGGTATAAACAGGCCACCAAGAAATCGATTGAATCTTCTTCTTCGATTCAGTTCTGCACATATTCTTCCCGACTGCTGTATTGTTCTGTTTATTGCTGAACTACATAAACAATATACATATTATATTATCCATCGAACCACTGTCGGAGATAGAAAATATATATTCTTCATAAACTTTTCAGGTGATATCCTTTTTATGGTGCATTGGCCGGTAGCGACGGCGAGGGGGAGGCCACTAAGGTGCTCCAGCCGGAGCCGGACCCCCCACCCCCTCTCCCCAAAGAAGCGGAGATCATCCGGATATGCGAAATTCATGGAAAATGTCGCAGTGGACAATGGAGAATAATACGAGGCTGTGATGTGACGGCGCCGACGCCAAATAGATAGAGAAATCTTCGACGCTTACGCAGAAGTTGAGGACCCTGAAACTCTCGTCGCTGAACTCGAAAGTGAACCCAAATGTGAACCAGGGGACTTTAGTCAAAAAATCATAAGACGCTGGGACGACACAACGATTTGCTTTGTTTTAGGCCAAGAGTCGGAAAACACTGTAGCGATTCATGTTAGGGGAAGCTGTTACAGGGGAAGCTCGATGCGCGGATTGATACTGAACGGATACAGAGATGCGCCTGCTGCCTTGAAATAAATTCGAACACCATGTTTGTAGCAGGTTCAACGAAGGTTGTTATTCCCGAAAGGACGGCGGAAATCAACAGAAACCTGGCTGAAGCAATGGATGCGAAGAGGGAAGCCGAAAGCAGGATCGAGGATCTGAAGGAGCGGGCAGAGGAGCTACACAGACAAGAGTAAAGTGAAAGTGTGAATCCTGTGAAATGTTGATTGGTTTATTGCTTATACTTTCATGTTTTCTAACACGTGTTACGAGAACGAAACCTAAGCGGTGGGAAATATCGCAGCTTTCGCGATCACCAAAATTGTAGATCTCGAGCCATGGGTGATCTGGCGGGAATAATGTTATGTACATTGGTCTTTGGCTCAAGGGTATGAACAGGCCACCGAGGAATCGATTGGATCTTCTCCTTTTAGTCATTTCTGCACATATTCGTCCCGATTGCTGTACTGTTCAGTCTAATGTTGTACTACATAAACAATATATCCACTGAACTCTGTCGGAGATAGGAGACGTATATTTTCCATACATTTATCAGAAATTTCCCTTTTACTATTGTCACTTTTTCTGATTAAAAAATTGGTGATTCTGCCTTTTGCTACAACTACAACTACGTTGATTCCCAGACAGTTGGAGAACAACGCTTCACTGGGTTTCTCCAAACTGGCTGGTCTATACTAGAATTAATGAAAGTTTTTCACTTAGGAGCTCATTTGAGAGAACAACCTATACCTGGCTATTCTGCCAGCACTGTGTTCTCATTTGGCCTTCCCTTCTAATGGAAATAATGCCACATTGTTAGCATCTTTTTATTGGCAGTAACGACGAAATGCTGAGCAACTAACCACTCCATATGGAGATCTTTCTGTTACTGTTTGAAAAATCAGGGACCGTGCGATGGCGTACGCGAGCAGCAAAATCTTAAAACATCCCTGTTTCTCGGATAACCGTAGGCCTAGATAAGGTAAAATGCAAGGGGCGATTCCAAGTTGAGCGCAAGTTTTCATTGCTCTTGTTATCTAATCCTGCAGGTACCAATCTTTTACATTACCTGCTAGTTACTAGATGATCAAAACTAGTTGGTTCGCCAGCAGTAGCAGCGTCATCTTTCCTCATACATCTTTGTTAGGTGATGGGCTAACCTTGAATACCGAACACCAAGGAGGAGCCCTCCGAAAAGGGATTGGGAATCTACATGGAGTCGGAATTAAAAAAGTAGCTTATTCCAACAACTCATTAATGTACACTGAGTAATCGGGTGATGTGCGTAACCTCTTTATGAACAGCTTGAGTATCATACAAAGATGAGCAAAACGTTTGCATTTGAAAAAAAGCATTTCTTGCAATCGAAAAAAGCACTGGCTTTTTTGATTCTGTGGTGTTATTGCCAGCACTCTACTACAACAGGACCACATCCATCCCATCCCTTCTACCTCTTCGTTTCTCGTACGTCGTGTAATCCAGCGGACTGATGTTATTCGACTTGGCCTTAATTCAGTTTGTTATAGACTAGCTTTGATCTTACGCCCTGTTTATCCTTTCGGGGTGCACTCTGTGAGTGTATAAATAAATAAAAAGTTAATGAATAAGAAAATTCCAGCCGGGTCTCAGACGGTCAAATAGCTAGTTTTCATTCTTTTTTCGAAATATCAGGTTGGGTATTGTAGCAACGGAGGGTACCTTCATGATCGATTTCGAACTAGAACACTCATTGNGCATTTCTAGACGAAATGGATGCGTCACCAGGAATTCTGTATTTCGACGATCCACTCGATAATGATATTTTGGATGTTCATCGCAGACCAATACTTTCACGAGCTCAAGCTGTAGACGGTGAACGACTGCAGAATTTAGGTAATGAATTATTTCGACATTACAGCACCGGAGGCCACACAACACCATTTCTTTTATGATCAAAGCTAGTGAATTGTTGCCCCACACGTGAAATGCGAATACCTTTGGTCAAAAAAAGATTTCAAAACTCAAGAACATTGTCAATCACGGGTAACCCCCTATTTATTGACACGCTGATGTAATAAACTTTGTCTGGCACCATTGTTTCCGGATATCTAAGTAAATCATGTTGTTCTTCTATACAACATGAGCTAGCCGATAACGAATGCTACCTCCAGGTAACGATCTTCCGAAAAACCCCGCAGGAGAGCACGTCCCGATGCAAGACACCAAGAGCAGGGAAGACTTCAATTTTGAGTCGAGCTTTTCTCGAGCAAACGATGAAACTGTGATGTATACCATTGCGGATCCCTTTTCTTCTCATTCGGAAGAAGAAAATGAAGCAGATTTTGAGGCTGATTCGATGGTCATTCAGTCAGAGTCATATAGTGAGTACGTAATCTCCGTCTACGCACTAATTGTTCCTTCTCTTTACGCCTTATTTATTTTTTAGTTTTAGAATGAAAAAATACTGCCAATCTTGTGATTCGTTTATCAGTTCCTTTGAATTTTAAGTTCATTCGTTGTCATAGATTTTGGATAAATATTCTTACAATGTTACCTAGCTCTTATTCATCCTGGTCCATTTCTGTACTTACTACTAATCGAAGTGAGGTGTCGGTGCTTGGAAATAAGCAGTTCGAAGCTTCTCAAATGATCTTCTGAACTAGAAGTTAAAGTTAAAACTTTCAGACGAATCTACTAAGAAAGTTGTGTACGCTCAAAGTTTGCATGCTCAAAGCATGGAATTATAGCGGTAATTGAAATGCGCAGCTACCCTTATTGGCTGCTTTAGTAGTCAGCGAGCGAGCAAGCGCGCGAGCCGGCCGGGAGACTACTCGTCCGGCGGTATCGGCCAAGATTCAGCTGTAAACAAGAGGCAAGCGCCGCCCCGGTTGCCCGCTAGCTCGCTCGCGGGCCGGACGGCGGGCTATGGAAGGAGCCATTGACCGTAAGAATCGCCGTGGCGCAGTGGCAGTCTCTCCCCTTCCAAGCGATCAAGGTTTATTTCCTTATTGACGCCTTGCAAAATGTACTTTCTTTTGAATAAATACTCTTATACCGTTAAACTAATTCAAAACAGCGCCTTATTTCAGGCATTAATTGTTCGTCACCACCACACTTGTTTGAAAGGATCTTTCCATGCTCTTCAATGTATTCTTTACTGCCCATCACTTTTACTTTTAATTTTACTCCTCACCGAGTGTCCCACTCCTCCTTTTGGCACAATTTTTTAGCCTTCATCCACAGCAGTTCGTACAGGACCCAAAGTGGCAGAGAACTGTTTCCGATCAAATTTTCTCGTTGAGTTTCTGTCCATTAAACAGAAATAGCGTTAGGAGAATCTGAAAAAATCTGTACCCTAAGCAGATTCACGGCTCCTGCTTGAATGAACCACTAAAGAGTACTGATTAATGTCCTCATTCTACCACTCGATTTCTACTGATGCAGCTTTCTGGATTCACATTTGTCCATTATTTGTGTGGTTCCACCGTCCAAAGTCGGCTTATGTTCGAATCTTCACGAGAAGCCTCTATTCCCTCCCGGAACGAAATCTCTTCCGCCAGTGTTTCTCCTGGTCTATATGTAATGCATAAACAGAGCTTCATCACCTTACTGCAGAGGCTAAGAAAAATTTGCAAAGAATTTCTTGATATCACAAATCATCTTTGAAAGGAATCGTGTTAGAATGTGTCATATCAGCCGAAGCCTGGATTAAGGGGTGTGACTAGAGTGTGGTTCTGAGCTGAAAGCTTGACGCTTCATATATAATAACAACTTTAACACAATCAAATAGGAGCCATTCATAATCATTTGATACTTGTAGGCAGACGAAACTCAATTGGAAAAATTTCATCGTATATCATTGTAAAAAAGTCTACTCGCGTTCTCGAATGACTCTTTAGTTACTGTGTATATTCGACAAGCTGATCCTTGTCATGAAGCGGAGCGAAGGTACATAAAATCATCTGTGTGACTCTTTCGACAGTACAAACGGGCGGTTCCTAAAAACGAATGTTCAAGCTCACTGTACTAATTGTTTAGACGGTGCGATTAACTTATTTGTTGGTTCGAGGTAGTCAGCTTTGAAGTCTTGTAAGATATGAAGAGGACAAGAGGGGGAGAAGCTCTGCCATAAGGCACTGGCGAGGACTACTGATTTGGGACACACTGCGATCGTTTGCCTGCATTAATTACAAAAAGAGGTCCAAGACCCTTCATTGAAAGGAAGCACATTTCGCAAAAATTGGTGCGGCGTCGGTAAGCAAACCTACCCCGCACGCCTCAAAGACTTGTGCGTTTAATTTGGCACTATCTCTTTATGCTCAAGCAAACAAGCCTTGAAAGCTAACACTTAAACACTTACTTATTTGGTAGACTCATTTAGCAACTTTAATTTTGAATTTTGAAATTAGCATTAGAAACTCTCGTTCATGAAGAACCACTCCTTTTCGATTTTGTTGGGGTGGGATGGCCTTAAAGGCATGTTCACATTAGAAATGGTTCCTGAAATTTCTGCTCGCATGAGACTGTGAACTCCAAGGATATCCTAATGGACACTGTCGGTCGAAAAACAGTCAAGACTGCGTTAAGGGCATCCAAAACCAGCTGAGCCGACGATCACGCCCATGGCGGACGAGTGTTAAACGTTTTAAAAGCTGTAGAGGTTGCACCTTTTGCGCCGGGGTAACGGAACTTTTCCCCGATTGCGGCATTCTCCCTTGCGGCATGCGGTAAATTGCAATTACCGTACTCACCACGCACCCCGCCAATCGATATGACGCAACATTTTTCGTTGGTAGCATTTCTTTTTTATTGGTTTTGATAGTTTTTTATCTTTCTTTTTCTTGTTTTTATGTATATTGGACT